CGATGTCCCTTTGCTGGTCATATTGGTGGTGACCCTCGGAAATTCTCCGTCTTCAATCACCCTTCTTCTAGGCCTTGGTTTTGGCATTTCCGCACTGAGTCTTTCAAAAACTGAAACTCTTTTGGGGACCGCCTTAATGCAATTGCATTCAGATAATACCGTCCGAATGAGTTTAGAACAGGGACATTGAATTTCCTGTTCTCGGGGACTCCTCTTCCTGGTTCTATTCGTACCCCTAGCACGATAGTACAACTCGTCATTTTGACAGTCGGAGTAACCTATCGTGTGCGGGCACGCCTTCTCAGGTATAACACTATCATTATCAGATGATAATGTTTCCATCTGAGGGTGAGTTGCCTTCTTTGGGCTCTCAAAAGTTACACGCCTAGCAACGTGCCTTCGTGGGCGCGAGTCTTCAGCGTGCTCTTGGACTTCGATGCGCAAGTTAGTGCGCGCAGCTGCCTTGAGCTCTTTGTTATGTTGGAGGTGATGGCGACCCCCAGCATTTTGAGTCGTTCTTTCTTCATCGGGCCCAAACGCTCGTGAATTGGAGCTTTGCCTCTCACGTCAGGAATTGGACCGAGGCGCTCCAAAATTGGTTTCTTCTTGCGGGATGACTCTGCATGATCTCCCGGAGAAGTTATTGGGATTGACGGCGACTTTGGTTGATTCGCCGGAGTTTGACCTTGCTTAGAAGGCTGCACTGGTTGCTTTTTGGCCTGAGTCGCCACTTCAGACTTAGGCTTCCAGACTTGGCGTGTTGGTGGTGGCTTCTTCTCCACCTCCTTTTGCAGCTTTCTACGGGCTTCCTGAGCTTGAGCCCGTGCCTGCGCTGACATCGCGCGGCGCTTGCGAATACGCTCCTCGAGCGTCGAACGATTTCGTTTGACGCGGACCCATTCTTTCTTTGGCGGCTTGGAAGAGTCGCCATTCATTGGTGGTTGAGGCTGTTTGCCTCTTCTGTTCTTCAACTCCGCGTGGTAGCGGAATCCGTCCGTAGACTCCATCGCCTTAGCGAATTGCCGCGCAAGGCGTTGACGACGCCTCTGGCGGGCTCTCTTTGAGAGAGTCACAACGCCCTGAACAGTAGAGGCGTTGGCGGGAGTTGGGTTGACCTGATTGGAGGTCGGTGGAACTTCATTTGACGCAACTTCGGCGTCAGTTGGGTTGAGAGCTTCGTGGGCTTCCCGAGCAGCTTCAAACCAACGAGCTTTTCTCCCGGAGGAGAACTTCTTGGACTTGCGGGGGGAGATAGAGCCGGACGAGGACACGTACTCCTCGAACTTGGCTTGGTCGAACTCGTACTCGACCTCCTCCACGACCGGGATTGCAATCCGCGGCTGCGACGCATCGATCTCGTTGGCGAGATCGTCGGCTCCCACTGTGGTCGCCAGATTGTTCGCGTGGAAAACTGTTTTCTTTTTCATTGATATGATTGTCATCTTGGGTTACAAAGATCCGGTCTTTTATAGATCCGGTTACAACTAAATCAAAGAAAATAAAGAAAAATTACAACTCTCCTCTGTGAACAAATCACGAGCTCCTGTTTTGCGGTCGCTCGCTTTGGTGGGTTCTTTGCCTGCGCCGGGGTTAATCCGTGGACCACCGCGCGATCTAGATCCGGTCGGATCTACACGAGTATGCGGGTATTATTCCACGAAGGGAATAATAGCCGGGAGGGATTAATCCACCAAGGGAATAATCGCTCGGATCTCGAGATCTAAGACCAAGCTTAGATCTGGAGTGTAGCCTCGTGTAGATCTCAGATCTGTTCTTTCTTCCTCTCGAGATCCTGCCTTTTCTGACGTGGATGGTCGCCGAGGATCAGATCTGAATGGTGCAAGTCTTCTGGTCTTCAAGCTCCGAGTTCACTCTTCAATCCGGCAGAGTTTCGGCTCTTGAAAGTTCGACCCCCGAAAATGAACATCTCTAGGCCTATTTATAGGCTCTCAGGACAGTGGCTGCAAAAAGGGAATTGTCGGCCACCTCTGGCCACTGTCGGCCACCTCGGGCCACTGTCGGCCACCTCGGGGTGGCCGACACTGTGCCTAGCCACCCTGAGGTGCTGCGTCTCTGGCCGCGCACCTCAAGCGTTGGTGCTTTGCCACGAGCCACCCGAGGTGGCTCGGGCATTGGCGCGACAGCCACCT